CACATTATAACATTGCACAGTATAACAACAACATAACACATAACATTGCACAGTATAACAACATAACACATCATAACATAGCACAATATAACAACATAACATAACACATCACATTATAATACAACATAATATATTGTATTATATTATGTTCTGTTGTCCTGTGTTCTGTTGTGTTTTATTTTTTTATGTTATGATGTATTCTATTATATTAGGTTGTGTTATAATGCGATCTGATATAGTATCATGTGTTATGTTATGTTGTGTTACAATGTGTTGTATCATGTTTGATTGTGTTATAATTTTTGATGCTATATTATGATGTGCTATAATGTGCTGGGTTGAGTTATGATGTCTTATAATGGGTTTTATTAGGATATGTTGCGGTATAATTTGTTTTGTTGTTCTATGTTATGTTACGTTGTATAGTGTTATATCATGATTAGTAATGTTATAATGTATTGTGTCATGTCATTACAATGTGTCATGCTATGTTATTTATGTTATGTTGTGTTACAGTGCATTGAGTTATGTAATGTTGTTACATTTTGTTGTGTTGTAATATGTTGTGCTATGATATTGTTTGTTATAATATGTTATGTTATAATGTATTGTAATGTCATGTTTGGGTGTGTTATAATGTGTTGTATAGTGAAATGTTGTGATGAGTGCAGTGCTGTTGTGCAGTGATATTTTGTGTTGCAATGTGTTGTGTTGTTAATACCATATTGTTAGTGTTACCATATTTTGTGTTATTCGCTTGTGTCGATCATTAAGCATCGGCCACTTTGATCGCAGAGAGTGCTCATAAGTGTTGATCATTGGGCATCAGCCACTTTGATCGCAGAGAGTGCTCATAAGTGTTGATCATTGGGCATCAGCTAAACCGACCGTGAATCGCATGCGCTTGTGTCGATCATTCGGCATCGGCCACTTTGTGTGCATCAGTGTTGATCATTGGGCATCGGCTAAACCGATCATAAATCGCGTGCGCTTGTGTCGTTCATTAGGCAACAGCCACTTTGATCGCAGAGAGCGTGCTTCTGTGTTGATCATTGGGCATCGGCTAAACCGATCGTAAATCGCGCGTGCTTGTGTCGATCATTAGGCATCTTCCACTTTGATCGCAAAGAGCGTGCATCAGTATTGATCATTGGGCATCGGCTAAAATGATCGTAAATCGCGTGCGCTTGTGTCGATCATTAGGCATCAGCCACTTTGATCGCAGAGAGCGCGCTTCTGTGTTGATCATTGGGCATCGGTTAAACCGATCGTAAATCACATGCGCTTGTGTCGATCATTAGGCATCTTCCACTTTGATCGCAAAGAGCGTGCATCAGTATTGATCATTGGGCATCGGCTAAAACGATTGTAAATTGCGTGCTCTTGTGTCGATCATTAGGCATTGGCCACTTTGATTGCAAAGAGCACGCATCAGTGTTGATCATTGGGCATCGGCTAAACCGATCGTAAATCGCGTGCGCTTGTGTCGTTCATTAGGCAGCAGCCACTTTGATCGCAGAGAGCGTGCTTCTGTGTTGATCATTGGGCATCGGCTAAACCGATCGTAAATCACGCGTGCTTGTGTCGATCATTAGGCATCTTCCACTTTGATCGCAAAGAGCGCGCATCAGTATTGATCATTGGGCATCGGCTAAAATGATCGTAAATCGCGTGCACTTGTGTCGATCATTAGGCATCGGCCACTTTGATCGCAGAGAGCGCGCTTCTGTGTTGATCATTGGGCATCGGCTAAACCGATCGTAAATTGCGTGCGCTTGTGTCGTTCATTAGGCAACGGCCACTTTGATCGCAGAGAGCGCGCTTCTGTGTTGATCATTGGGCATCGGCTAAACCGATCGTAAATCGCGTGCGCTTGTGTCGATCATTAGGCATCTTCCACTTTGATCGCAAAGAGCGTGCATCAGTATTGATCATTGGGCATCGGCTAAAACGATCGTAAATCGCGTGCTCTTGTGTCGATCATTAGGCATCGGCCACTTTGATTGCAAAGAGCGTGCATCAGTGTTGATCATTGGGCATCAGCTAAACCGATCGTAAATCGCGTGCGCTTGTGTCGATCATTAGGCATCGGCCACTTGATCGCAGAGAGCGCGCTTCTGTGTTGATCCTTGGGCATCGGCTAAACCGATCGTTAATCGCGTGCACTTGTGTCGATCATTAGGCATCGGCCACTTTGATTGCAAAGAGCGCGCATCAGTGTTGATCATTGGGCATCGGCTTTATAGATCGTAAAGCACATGTGTTTGTGACGATCGCCAGGCATCAATCGTAAAATACGTGTGCCTGTGTCGATCATGCAGCATTGGTGAGGGTTACATTTCCGTTTTTAGCAAGCATATTGGCAACTTTCTTCCCTGGCGTACATCCAAAAACGAACCTCTGGCGTACACGCTGCACCTTCCTGACCACGGCACATGAGTAACACTCCTGCGCCTATGTCAACTCAAAAGTAATTGACTGATGGGACTATGACGTCCAGCTTAATGTTTTACTCCATAACAGCATAACTTGCATACAGCGTACCATTCAAGGCATAGGCTGCATAGCTAACTACAGGGACACATGAGTAACAATCCTGTGCCTATGTCCACTCAAAAGTAATTGACTGATGGGACTGTGAGGCCCGCCCAACAATTTACTCCATAACTTGTATGTAGCGCTAAATTCAAGGCATAGCTAACTAGTAACTACAGGGAGTCAGGGACATATAAAAAACACTCCTGTGCCTACATATGTCCAATCTAAAGGAATATTATTATTTGTTCTTTTTTGGATATGTTATTTTAAGCTATTACACTCTGCAATTACACGCGTTTGCCAAAGGAAGTTTGTGATATTATTCAACTACTAACAAAAAATATTACCAAAATGTTTTTTTTTAGCAAAATCAGTGATGTTGCAAATTGTGTCACCTCAGTTCAAGTCAGTTGTAAGTTGGAACCATGTAGTACTGGGATTTTCTAGTCCCATTTATTTAATTTTTACCAATAACATATATTTGATTATTTTTTACGTTGATGCAATATTTAGTCCAAGTTTATGATGATTCTGTAGAAAAATAAAAAGTTGTAGTGCATATTGCAGTTACGAAAGGGTTAAATTCTTGATAAACTTGCAATTTAAGCAATCAAGTGATCTTTATACCTAATGTTTGGCTTATATCAATGCATGATTTGCAGGCAGGGTTGGTGATTTTTTTATTTTTTTTAATAAAAAAAAATCAAAAATCAATGATTTTTTTATTTTTTCATGATTTTTTTTATTTATTTGATTTTTTTTATTTTTTCAACTTTTTTGTCTTTTTTGAAGTGTTATTTTTTATGTTGCAATTAGCCTACTAGCAATAACAGTATATGGATCATAATTGATGGCTAAAAAGGGCACTTATTGCCTTCAATAATGGCCAACAGGCCAAGGTGGTGTTTACCACTTAGGGATTTTTGGGTAAACAATTATTGAT